AGATAACAGTCTGATGCCAGTGATGGACAGGGCCCAGGGCAGGGTAATGTGGACAGACTAAGAGCTGGTTACAAGTCAAACCCTGCAATTTATTACCAAAACATTGGAGAGTGTTACAGGCCTACTCTAAAGACAATTTGGCCCCCTATACTTGTAAAGGCCACAAGCTGTGCTTTTAGCTTAAATCTCTTCTGTCCCCCTCCTACACCATCAAATCATCAAGTTATCAGTCTATCACCCATTAGTAATCCAAGTATTCATAAAAAGATAAGATAAAAACAATATAGTGGGTTGGCATGACATTAACACATATACACTGTCACCTTATGACCTTTGACTTTTAACTAGAGTCAAACAGATGTCCTTTCTATATTTTTAATGCAGTCGATACATCAAACACTAGATATCCTGATACAGGAAGTTGCTCTTGCTTCAGCCAATTGTCAGCTGGTATCAACCCATTAACAATTAATTCTCATCAATGATTCACATAGTATTCAATTATTATTTTGACAAAACATATATACACCAAGAAGCACAATGATGTTCTCTCAGTAATGATATTTACACCATATATATATACCCTAAATAAGCCAAGGAAAAACAAAAATTCTAACTCAAAGTCAAATAGCTCACTGAAAGACATCAGAACTTGTTCATTTGAAGGGTTTATAACAGACAGGATCATTTTCAGGCAGGGTGACTCCTGGTAGGAGCTTGTGATTACCTCAAAAACTCACTGGACAATAAATGGGAAGCCTGATATATAGTATCTACAGTGATTAAGGTAAAGTGTTGCATTCCCAAGGACACATTAAAACAGCGCAGAATGGTCAATTTGTGTTCAACTTCCTGAGAAACATAATGGCAATGGGTAGTCAGCACCAAACCATGCACTTAGAACCTTCACCTGAGGTTATGTAAGCCAACACTAACTGACCAAGCCATTGCCCTGCCCAAAGAAATTTGATTGTAATTCCACTGCAATGCTCTTCTATATAGATCTGGTGGGCTTGCAAGTTATTACCAGACATAGGCTTATCGGTGGACAAATACAGTTCGTTCAAAAAATGTTTTAAACTCTATAACACAGAATCAGTTTGAACTAGACTGATTACACGGCCATTTACAGCTAGACAAGAAATTGATAAAATCCCTAATCAATCTTCCTGGGAATAATTAAACAATGACAAAGTCCTGTGTCCAGTCTGTTGAGGGCCTTATCTTGGCTAAAGCCACGGTGGTTGTATTGATTGATATATGCATGGCACTACTCACAGCAATGGTTAGATTGTTGATCATAACACAACGCTTTTAACGTTAACTGAAAACAAATAACACAAATTCTCCCATAAATTTATAACTGCCAAGATTAAAACATTTTTCACTCTTTGTTCACAGTTCATTTTTCTTAAAAACAAGGATGATTTTGAAATTAAGTTTATGCCAAGCTGACAATACAGTGAGTTAAAAATTTACAATTTGACTTTAGCTCTTCTACATCTAATTACTACACACTTCGTATAATGTCCCTGGACAAATTGACACTTGTAATGGCCATGCATATATACTGCTTTTCATCTCTCCCTTCTGTATCAACTTATCTACAAGTGTTAGCTTTGGAAAATCCATTCTCATCACAAACTTTCTGGGAAATCACTCAGGATCATTCATATAAGATCGGTAACATCCTGTAAGGAATACACTTAAAAAAACGAAAATAACCCATGTGCACAAATGTAGCATTTCCAATGCATGTGAAACTAGAATTGTACTTTAATGTATGGCAAGTTATATATGTATGTGCTCCCTAACGTGGTACTGAGCTTCAAACAACCATTGGCAGATGTCCATCATAAAAGCATGTGCAGTGTAATCTTCAATTCGATGATTTCTAATTAAGTGTATATTTGTCAGTCAGTTGACGACAAGAAGTCGTCAAATGACGGACAAACTTGTGTCACAAAGGTTCAAAAGATGCAGGTTGATGAAAATTATAGGGAAGTTTTATGGTCTCCAATGTGATCTCATTGAGAAATATTCTATTTCTTTGTGCGACATGAGGAAGGTTGTATTTGATACTTGTTAGTTTGTCTGTTGTAATTTACAGACTTAATTCATATAATAATTACAATACTGGTATATAAATTAATTTATTGTTGCTTTATGTTCTATCAACAGCCCAGTTCATGAAGAATATGCCAGGTTTGAGTGATGGAGGAAAGCTGGAGTTCTTGCAGAAAAAACCACTAATCTGAGGCCAGCACCCATTGACTGCCCTCGGTAGACCTCGAACCCACAACCCAGAAATAGAGGGCTAGTGATAAAGACGGCTAGATCCTCTTTGCCATTCAGCCACTGCCAATAGTACTACAATCTATATTGATACGATCTATTTTTATAGTGTTAAATACACTACAAATTGTAATGATAGCACTTTATAATACTAGGGTTTTTCATTTGTTAAATTTCATGAATACAGAAGTATTTAAGGCATCAGTACCTAGCCAGGCATGGTGAATAACTTTTATAAAGTAGTTTTGGTCATGCTCAATTTGAATGTATGTATATTGATGGTATCCAAACATGTTACATACATAGCTGAGTTTAAACCTTGCAGTAAATTTTGGCCGCTGAAATGCCAAAAGGCCGTAATAGTGGATGTAAACCTGTTAAATTAATAAATAGGGATCCTTTGTCCTCTTCTTTAAGTGTGTGCAAAATTATGATTGTCTTTAAGTTTGGAGACTGCAATTGCACAAAGTTTTTCTTGAAATATGTTACAATTACTTGTATCTTGGTGTACACAATCAGCCAGTTTACAATATATACACTTCAGCTTCAAGTACCCCTGAAGTGCTTCTATACTCTCCTGAACAGGAATGCTAGATTACACTAGTGTACACATGGCTATATTTCAACAGATGAAAAACAAAAAAACACTGCATTTACTTGATATCACACACATGTCACTTTAAGTCATACTGAGTATGTTAAATCAAATAAAGAATACAATATGTTTGAAGTATTATATATATATATATACTGGATACCAGTTTATTATCACATCATATTTTGTATCTAATGACATGTAATTTAGCTATACAGGTTAAAACATAATTTCTTTGTAGATATGGGTAATTTAATTTATCTTATTGTCTGTTTATATGTTATTGTTCAGCAGCTGTACCACTTCAGGTTAACATGGTCAGCATCAGTATATAAAACCAAATATATAAGCTTTATATATACTTCCATTTGAAGGCCTATATATCCTGCAGTTAGTATACTTATAATACATGAGGTATATCCTCCATGCATGTGTGATACAAAATAATATATTTCATACTGTGAAGGCACAAACACAGGTTATAATCCTGCCCACTTGGGTATGCATACTATCATCACAGTACACTTAAACATATATATATAGGATATAGGATACACCTGATACAATGTACATACAATATATATGTATACTTGTATACATATTTCAAATAACAAAGTTAAAGCCAAAGTATAATATATAGAGGAAGCGGGGTTACATATAAAGTTGTACATTCTGATTTTAAAAACAATGTACCATGCATGCATTAGAAAGGTATTTCACGGAAAACTTAAAGTATATCTATAATATAGATCTATGTAACAGACACATAGAAGTAAACATGACATATGAAATACAGGATCATTTCATCAATATTTACATATAACTGTAAAATATGTATTTCCTCCGCTTCATAAATCAGTTATATGAGTTCAATATGTACAAGTGGTAGGTTGTGTATTACATGCATTAACATACTTTACACCTGTATGTATGTTCAGGTATATACTAAGAAATCTTATATATTTCAACAGATACCACACCTCCAGTTTATAACACACCTTGTATCTTTAATATATCATTCTGTTTACAAACCAGAGGAAATGTATATATAATTGGCACACCCAAAAAACATGTATTGTTTCTTCTATTGTCTAGTTGTAGAAATAAAAGTTTAGACTAACATAATTAACCTGATTAGAACAACTGTTTTAATGAGAGGATTCTTCTCTTTAGAACTTCTTTTTCAAAATAATTAATTTTACATTACAATAATATAATCACTATCAATATAAATTTGTCACCATATGATACAGATGGTATCTCATGAATACCAATTACTGAATTCACAATATTAATATGTGTCATCTAATTGAAATTGTGAGTCATCTTAAATTTTGGTGTACTATTCCAACCACTATTTAACCATAAAAGTACATGTTAGACATCAAATTATTTTATAGTATAGTACTTTTCTTATAGGAATACATGCATTGGAATTGAAGAAAACACAGAAGCTAAGAGACCATAGCAAGATTGTACATCTAGAATGAAGTTATACTTTCCATATTCAAAAGTAGGAATATTAAGGTAAAAATATTTTGATAATTGGTAAAAAATTTTAATTATTTCATAGGTGCCAAAATTTTTTTTTCAATTATAAAGAGATAGAAAATAATCATGATACCATCAGAACTGTATGTTAAGTATTAAGCAAAGTTGATGATAAACATTTAATCATAAATGGAAATAGGAAAAATAACCAAGTGGGATCTGGGATATTCTAATATGAAAAAAGTAGTTTTTTTTGCTATAGAAAAATAAATTCAGAGACGAGTAATTGTCTGATGTCTCGAGCCCAATGGGTAATTTCTAGTGACACACCCGTAAATATAGGTTACCTATCTTTATTTACATAGTAGAGGTTATCCATAGGGGGGTTGTCTCAAAAACAAAATACGATTTACCTGTGTTACCTGATGTTTCAAATATCGCGGATATTTAATTGATATTGCATTAAGTGTAGATGTAATACGGAAAATATTTTCCCGAAGAGTGAAAAAATGTCGGAATAATATCATATGTTAAAATTAGTGCGTTTTGTTCTGTTATTGTTTACTTAAGAAAGCATGTCACATTCAATTCCTAATTGAACAAAAAAGGGAATACTCACAAATTCTTGTTATTTATATGTTCTGCTATAGCGAATCCAAAATAACTGCCATTTACTCCTTTCTTTATAACAGGAATGTTTGTGTCAATATTATGTCCAAAGACGCATGAATTTATAAACAACACTAACAACAGGACAAACATGTCCCGTAACTCCATTGCCATTTTCAGTAATCTTGTCCCATTTGTAGAAGCACCTGTCACACGTGAATTCACGAGATCGTAAGACTGCGCAATGATTTTTAACAATACATTATTGTTTCACTTTCAGTTTATCCTTTGAAAGTAACAGCACACAAACATAAGAAAATAGACATTCACTATTAATAATGAGATATAAGTGATGCGCATACTCTATCATAGTAGCGTGTGTGTATGTTACAATCGAAAGTTGTCTATGAACTATATAGTGACGCGTGAATACAAAATTAGCACATGCGTTACAAGGCACTTCCGGTAAGGGAGGCGTACAGACTGGACTGAAACATGTAGCCTAAGATAAGGGTGGTATTGAATGTGAAATGTTGTTGTTTTACATTTGAATATGCTGTCAAGTTTACTCAAACAACATCAGGCGAAGCAGCAAGTGCGAAAAGATAAGCAAGGTGATTGTATGATAAATTTATCGTCGACATAGAGGTTTGATGAAGAGAAACTGTTTAAAAATTATAAACCCGTTCGCAAAATAATGTTACAATGTATCTGTATCGGTACGTTGTAGATCCCGTTTCCGGTTTTAATACAACGGATGAGAGAGTTAAGGATGCCCGAGGGCGCCCTTGAAAGCCTCCAATGTTAGGGCACATACTATTTTGTCATCCAGGTGGTTCCAATCGATGACTGTTCTCACGAAGAAAGAGTTCCTGTACTGTTCACAGTTGTGTGTTGGTACTGTGTAGGGTTTTGAGTTGTTGGTGACCCTTTTTTTCTACCATGTTTGCCGAGATGTAGCTGTCAAATTTTTTAGCTCTAACATTTCTCCTCGGCCTTTGTTTTGTAAGGTGATTTTCTGGGGGTATAGATGGTAGTAACCCCTCCACTACTTTATACATAAAGACACTCTTTGTTGCGCACACCTTGTCTGAAGTGATGGAAGCTTCAGGTCCTCCAGCATCCAAGTGACACATCCCTCCTCCCTTGATCTATATTCATTTTTTATGAATCTTGCCGCGAGTCTTTGCACTCTTTCAAGTTTATCAATTTCTTTTTGATTATAGGGGTCCCAAATGATAGCACCATATTCCAAGGTTGAACGTACGAAGGAAATGTATGCTGTTTTTTTACATGTCTTTGGGCTGTGTTTAAGATTTCTTTTAAGGAAGCCAAGGGTTGAGCTGGCTTTTTTTGTGATGTTCATTATGTGTGTGTTCCATTTGAGGTCTTCCGAAATAGTTAGTCCAAGGTAGGGGTTAGTCTTTACTTGTTCTAAGATCTCGCCATTTAAGGTGTAGAATTTATGGCTCCTCTCTTTGATGTTCATGACGTAACATTTTTTGGTGTTGAATTTCATCCCCCACCTGTTTGCCCATTGCTCTAGGTTGTGTAGATCATCCTGTAGTAGCTGGTGGTCGCTATATTGGTTGATTTCTCTGTAAAGGAGGCAATCATCCGCGAATAAGCGTACTTTGGAGCTCACACCGTCTGGTAAATCATTTATATGACATAAGAACAGTAGGGGTCCGAGTACTGTCCCTTGGGGGACTCCAGAATCTACAGAGATTTCTTGCGAGAGTTCTCCTTCAAGGGCTACTCTCATCTGACGCTGTGTTAGGAAGTTAGATAGCCACTTATGTAGATTTCCTTTAATGCCGTATTGGTCCAGCTTGTGTAGGAGTTTTTGGTGAGGAACAGTATCAAACGCCTTTGAGAAGTCAAGAATGGCAAGGTCGACTTGTTTGTTCTTATCATAGGATCTTAGTAGGTCGTCAACTGTGATTGCTAGTTGTGTTTCACAGGAGTACCCCGAACGAAATCCATGATTGAGAGATGTTAATATCTTATGCTGTTCCAGATGGTTTAGCATATGTTTACAGATGATATGCTCCAGCAGTTTGCATGGTACTGATGTTAATGACACGGGTCTATAGTTTTCTGCCGAGTGACTGTCTCCCTTTTTGAAGATACAGGAAATGTTTGCGTTAAGCCAGTCTGATGGTAATAGTCCAGAGTCTATTGAACGTTGAAATATTGCTGTTAAACCTGGAGAGATTTGTCTTGCACAGTCTTTTAGGATTCTATTTGGGATGTTGTCTGGTCCAGAGGTTTTAGATGGGTTTACTTTGCGAAGGAGTTTGGTAAGGCCGTCTGTGTTGATGGTTATATTTCCGATTTGTGATTTTACTGTCTTTGTTGTTTGTGCCTTCATATCTTGTTTTGATTTGTCTTCTTTTGTAAACACGGATTTGAACTGGTTCACTAGGATCTCTGCTTTACCTTTGCTGTCTGATGTTAAAGTCCCTTTGTGCTTCAGGGGTGAGACACCGATATTGTCTTGTCGCTTTGATTTGATGTACTTCCAGAATGGTTTGTTGTTGTTTTTCTCTAGGCCTTCTATGATGGTTTGGTTGATGTATTCCCATTCTGCTTTCCTCATTTGTCGTTTACATTCTTTTTGTACATGTCTGTAGTTTTCCCATTTGTTTGATTTTTTTGGCCTTGGTATACAATCGTTGTTTCCTCTTTAACCATTTGCGTATGTTGTGGTTGATCCATGGAAGGTTGTTTTTCCCACTGATGATTTTGGATGGCACAAATTTATCGATATTGTTGATTACACCTGTTTTGAATGGGTCCCATAGCTCTTGGATTTGGGTTCCTTCATTGTAAAGTTCCTTGATTTTACTCGATAGTTCTTCTAAAGCTCTGTTTAGACTAGCCCAGTCTGCTTTCCCATACATGTATCTCTTGCGTGGCTTTTGCTGTTGATAGTGAGGTTTGGTGTCCGAGTCGGTGACAATCATGGCATGGTCAGATAGCCCTGGGACGTTTGTTGATGATTTGATAAGTGTAGGGTTGGTGGTAAAGATAAGGTCTAGGAGGTTGTTTTCTCTAGTTGGGTCTTCATGCACTTGTGTTAGGTGCGCACATGTGGATATGTCTATGAGGGCAGTTTGAACTTCCTTATCTTGTGCAGTTTGGTTTACAATTAACGTGTCCCAGTTTATGTTTGGACAGTTGAAATCTCCAGACAAGAATACACTGTTGTTTTTAGTGTGAGCTATAAGATTTAGGGATTTTTCAAGCTCTTTCACATCCTTGGTGTTTCTATGGGGCATGTAGAAGGATCTGATAAGGAAGTTTGTTCTTTTTCAGTCTGATTTTGGCCCACACTATTTCACAGTCTGTGACAAATTCAGTAACTTCCTCGGACACCAAGCTCTTATGGACTAGTATAAATACTCCCCCTCCTGTGGTGTTCTTGTCATTCCTGTAAGCCGTGTAGTCATCAGGGAATATTTCACTTGATTTTACCGCGTCTGCTGTGGGATTTTTTCCAGGTTTCCAATGTATTGTTTTCGCAATGAATAATACGATCGGGTTGGAAATTAAAAGCAAATGAAATGAAAAGTGGAACAGATCACCTGACTAACCTCTGCTACAGGAAATTTGCCTTTGCTTGTTCGAAAACCCTGCCAGGTGCAGGATTCTTTTCATTACTCTGTCATATTCCTGATTTGCTGTTGTTACCATGATTCAAACCAGGGTTGTTGTTGTCTTTGTGACCAAAGGCTTTGTTAAGGAGGATGTAGTTGACAGTGCAGGTCACCTTTATAGCTTTAGCTAGTGGGAAGCTCCCTTTAGTTGAGTGGTAAATTGTCCAGCTGGAGATTGAAGGGTCACTAGTTTGAACCCCAGCTGTGGTTGACCTCTCATTTGATTTTCTGATACAGTGTTTATAATTCTACCCACAAATGCAAAAACTTTTGACTGTTTTCTGAATGTGTTTTGCGTTGGTTCGAAATTATATGACAATTATTCACACTTCTGATTAGGCAAACATTGCATTACAAGTTACTAGATTGTGATTTTTCACCTGTGAGATGCAAAACAGAGTTTGACACTGTTAGATATAGCAATATATTTCGACCTATGAGAAGGGTTTTGGAAAAATTACGAAAATAAGGAAAAAAATTCTTGTTTATAACAAGGTAAAAATAAATTTTTTTCCTTATTGCTTGACATCCATACCAGACAATATGCTATGATTAATAGGTATGAATCAACACCAAGTATCCATTTGGTTATTCAGTGTAAGTATCTAATTTTTAGAATGTAAATGTGAAAAAATCAGATTTTGTAGGGTTTTTTCCAACAAGTCTAGAATACCGTTTCCAAAATTTGATGAGTCCTATTACTCAGAGATATAGTGGCTTATCAAAATAGTGCTGAGTCTAGGGCTCCCAACAATTATTAGCCATCATGTTTCATGTCTTCATGCACAGTGCATAAATTTTTTAAACCCTACTCCTCTTTCAAACCTTGATTTCAACCAAATTTGGTCTGAAACATCATTGAGAGTGAAGAATTATTACCTAAATACAGAAAGTTATTCGACCCCTAGGAATTTAGGGGTGGGCCCCCAAAAGGGAAAGTATACAATATTTTGCTTCAAAAAGCTACTCCTTTTTAAGGCTTGAATGGTTTAATCAAACTTTTATCCAAAACATCATTGAGAGTGGAAAATTATTTCGTAAATTCAAAAACTTGACTTAACCCTTAGGGACCAGGGAATGAGGGGAGCCCCAAATGGGAAAGTTACTCAATATTTACTTTAAAATTTTTAATGCTTGAAATGGATTTCAACCAAATTTAGTTGAAAACATCAAGGAGAGTGGGAAATCATTAAATTCAGAATATTGGACCAATTTACAAGGTCACAGTGGTCAAATAGTTGAAATGCTTAAGCAACTTCTTCTTGATAACCGAAAAGGTCTTGATATTGATATATAGCTTCCTTTTTGATCAAGCGATACGTCGGGAGTAATGGCAATTGTGTAAAAAGAATATGATTTCAAGTTTGCAGAAAATGTCATGATGAACCAACAGTGTCTTATAATGTAAGCTGTAGAGTAGTTGAGCAGTTTTTTAGGCCTATTTTGCCTCATATATGTAAAGCTCTTCATAGTCGGATGAACCTTAAGGCCCATAGACCTCTTGTTTACATACTGAAATTGGTATTGTTTATAAGAATTATAGGAGTTTGATTAAAAAAATCAAACATTCATCATCCTATCAGGTAATTCTATGAAGTGTTAATCTAACATTACAATACCACATTCTCTTCTGTTTCTGATCAGTTAATCATTATTTTTATTTGAATCATGATTTACTTATGGCCAGAAAAGTCACGATTACTTAAATTTGCTTACGAACAAGGATATGATGAGTGGATACATCAAGTATCTGTGGTCTATTTGTAAGAGTGACACTGTCTTCAGTACCACCTACTAACTAGTACTAGAAACTTCCGATAAATATTTATGCTCTTTAAACCACAAACTTGCAACCCAATAAGAACACCTACCTACACGTGACATTGAAAAAAATTGTAATTAGAACCCATAAGATGGTAACTTAATCCAACAATTCAATATACAGTCTTTTAACATGATGTCGCCCATGTACTCAGCCACTAATATGACTTTTTTTCTTTATGTAAAGACAAGTTTCCTGCTCTTTACATTTCTTCTCTCAACACATTTCACCTGGAAACTTTTCCATATTTCAAGTACAAAGTACATTTTTAAAGGTCCAATTCAGTATGAGTTTGCTCAATTTAGCTGAAGATAATGTGAATAGGAAGAATACATTTTTTTTTTCATTTTAATTTCAATAGACAAGTTGAACGAAAATGCTGAATACAAAGTAATACATACCATATTTTAACAGAAGCAGACAAATATTTGGGTATAAGCCTTCTGCAAGGTAATACATTCATAACACTGCTTTGTTAACAATTTACAGGATACAAGAAAATTACCTGTAATCACAGCATTCAGATGGCTCTTGACATTGACAATTCGAAAAGTTGAATCACAAAACACATGAAATAGACATGTTCCCACAATCTCGAGAGTCATCTTCAGAGAGTCTACTGATCATGCCTTGGTAATTAAATACAACCATCAATATTAGATGTAACTAAACACAGGTTGTTTTGCAGCATTTTCCAAATGTTTTGTGTTATATATCATAGGTACCTTGAATTAATTAATTTGAAAAAAAAAAAATCTTCAATGCTCTCTATATGGTTAGTAAGGTAAGCTGTGTTGATCTCGCCTTTTGAATTTAATATATTCTTCCCATTTCTTTTTTTTTTTATTATTTTTTTTTTGAAATACAGAGGATTTACTCTTTCAAAGGATGATATAATTACTGGCTCCTTTTTTTTTGTAGAAAAGAAAAAGAAAGAAGCTATTGTAGCATCTACAGCTTTGACACATGCACTAGTGGATCATCTAAACGGAGGGTAAGTAAAAGATTTAAAAGATTAAAAGATCACACTCCTGTAGGAATAAATGGGTATTGTCCAAACTTAGTCTGAAGCATTCTTTGGTAAGGGGGAATCATTAGTGTATAGACGCAAGGTCTTGGCCCCCTTGGGTGGGAGGGGTGGGTTCCATTAGGGGAAATAGAGTGAATTCGAGGGGTGGGTTCCATTAGGGGAAATAGAGTAAATTCGAGGGGTGGGTCCCATTAGGGGAAATAGAGTAAATTCGAGGGGTGGGTCCCATTAGGGGAAATAGAGTAAATTCGAGGGGTGGGTCCCATTAGGGGAAATAGAGTAAATTCTATAAGATCTTATTCCTGCTTCAGGAATAAATGGATATTGCCAAAATTTGTTGTGAAGCATTCTTAGGTGAAGGAGAGTCAGTTTTATATAAACGATATGTTGTGGCCTCCTTGCCAGGGAAGACAGAGTCCATTAGGGGAAATAGAGTTACTACAATGTTAAACTTCTACTCCTGCTAAAGGCACAGTTTGATTTTGCCTAAATTTGGTGAAGAGGATTCAGTTCTGTATAAACAATGCACTGTGGCTTTCTGGAGTGGGAGTGGTGGGCCCAATTGAGAAAATGTTCTTTAAAATCTTTCTTTCATACAAGGATATTGTCAAAGTATGGTCTGGAGCAAGTTTTATGAATAGTGAGTCTGACTTCTGCTTGACCACCAGGACCCAATAGGGAAATTATATTGGAAATTATTGGTCATATATGAACTTCTAATAAATGGCTGAACAGCTAAATTGGCCTGACGAGTGATGCAGGCCCCTTGGGCCTCTTGTTAAAAAATATGATAGGAAATAGGTTCCAATGTTTTCTTTTTTTTTTTTTCAATTTTAATTTTTTCCTTGTTGCATTTAGCCTTCGTTTGGCTTTAATCTTATAAATATGCAATAGTTATAGGTTATATCACACACCAGAGTACAAATAAAATGCTTGCAAAAATTCAATATCATTTGTTCCGTTGTTTCATTCAGTCTCAGCTATATTATTGGGAGGTTTGATACGTGAAATGTCCTCATTATGAAAGCAGGAAACATATCAAAACTGGAGGATGTATTTCCTGAATGTATGAAGCAAAAAAAGTTATATTTTATGCAAGAAATTTAAAACAATTTATATTTTCAATTTTAAGATACAAATATTTACTTATGCACCTTAGCATCCATTAGAATTAATGCTGCATGTAAACAGTAGCTTTTCAGTAAATGAAACATTGAAGATCAAGAGTAGATGGTTAGTAAATGATAGTGTACTGCATACATGTATTTCAAAATTATGACATATTCCAAAATAGAAGAAAAATGACCGATATAACTGGTGACCTCTGTTATAGAGTGGCCCAGGCCTATGTTAACCAGAAGAAGCTGGACACAGAGACAAAGATCCTTCAAGCAAATGCCAGTCATTTCTCCAAACAAACCATCCAGTGGCTGAAGCTTGTGGAGGACTTCAACACCTCTCTGAAGGTTAGAGCAGTTACCCCCCTTTACAAACTTGTGTTGTCAGTATTTTACAATGTAATTCCAGGTTGGTAATCATTGGTAATCTTGTAATTTGAAATGTGATTGATTTTTCATAATTTTTTGGGTAACGTTGATCATTTACACCGTTTTCTTTCAAATACTAAAAAGTTTAATGTTACCTTGTAGTAAAAGTTTATCAAGTCATCAAGACTGATTTAAAAACTGTAACAAAAGTAGATAATTTATTACATATTTTAAACAGTTAAATCTTCAATCACACATTTCAATATACAGTATTGTATTTCTAAAATCATGATTAAACTTCAAACAGGAACTTGGGGATGTAGAGAACTGGGCACGAAGCATAGAGACTGACATGCGGACCATCTCTAGTGCTCTGGAGTATGCTTACAGGAAAAGTAAGTAAAGTAGGTACATCTTTTCTTCCTCTGCATGCTTATATTGTAATGTACTGCTATTTACCAAGCTGGAAAATAAACATCTCTTACTTTTGAACCTGCACTTATACTCAAGAGTGTTAATATGAATATTTTACCATTTTAATGAAATTCATTTACAACTTCGGTGACACTAGTACAACATTTCTGACATTCACATTTATGTATGTTTGTATGTACGAAACTCGTAACATTTCAATCCAAAGTCAAATTAATAAAACTTTTTGTAATCTTACTAGGTGTATCATACGCCATAGAATTACCTTCAAAATATGTTAAATTTGATTTACAGTGATGATCCATGACAGGGAGATATCTTTTGAGTTGTAAATATATCTGCCATCTTGGTTGTTATTAGAAACAGACTTTAGGAATTATGGGAAATATTTTTGATAACCTCAACAAAACAGGATCTCATGCCACAAGTAGCAGAAAATGGATCATACTGTTTCTTTCCAAGCAGGAAAATAGAATAAAAAACAAAATAACAAAACAACACTCTGAAAACTTCAAAAGAGATATTTATTGTTATTCATATACAGTGATGGATTTGACGCAAAAATGTGTTCTGTTTGTGCTTTATGGAGGGTATTTTATCCCATCTTCATCACATGGTGCTGCTCAAATTGGCATTCGTTCAACATCTTGAGTCCTTCCATCCTTAAACATTTCTTATCACTATTTTTTGAGATGAAAACATGATGGTTCATTTTCAAAGTTATGTTGGTTTCCCATGTGCATTGTCCTATTTTGGAATTGACCTGAAAAAACAAATGGCTGACAAGTGACAGTTGGCCGTCTTAGATTTTGATATTAATAGTTTGTTAATGCTATTTCTTGAGAAGTACAATATATTATTCTCAAATTTCATGTGACGATTTCTCTTGATACCTAATTGTGCATTGTCATATATTGAGACCTGTCTGGAAAATGGCCATCTTAGATTTTCATAGCACATTGTAATGGATCATTATCAATATTTCCTGAGTAGTACTGGATGGATCATTCTTCGATTTCATATGTATTTTGAGATGTTACATGATGGCCAACACAAAAAGTAGCAAAGAAAATTCAATCCCACCTTAAGAAGATATAATCAGAATTTTCTGTAGAAGTGTTGTGAAAATTTGCTAGTTTTCAGTTTTGATGCCTTTTAGCTGATTTTTTTTTCATATTTTTTTCCTAGCTGACTGATGTGTCGCCATCTACAAAAGAAGACTGCTGGAATGGTAGACCATCAAACACTACATACAGAATACAGGATCAGCATAAAATCAGTGTATGAGAGGACAGAAATGAAGTGTTGTCACCAGAGGGGTGGTAGAAGTTAAATGGTGGAGAGTAGAGTGTGTACGATGGGGGAAATAAGTGATAGTATTTAATATGAATATATGCTATAATGTTGAGTAATGTTTTATAAAGTTTCATATGTGCCAGATTGGAGTAGGTATGGTAGAGATTAATATGTATGATAGAGTTGAGTATAAGTATGTGATGTTGTGTTGAGTATGTGCCAGAGCTGAGTATGCATGATAGAATTAAGTGAATAGTATAATTCAATTTGTGTTGAAGAGTTGAGTGTCCACTATGAAACAAGACTAAACTTACATCAAAAGTTTTGATGATCATATATTTTCTTTTCTAAAATTGATGATTTGACCATTGTGTAGAGTATGTTCTAGAGACCCTCCAAGTTTGGGATAAAGTAAAAAAAAAAAATTTTAATTTGGACTGGCTTCAGTTGCTCCTCTCTTTTGTTAATTAAACCACAACACACATATGAAATTGGTTCTGGGAGATTTCTTCACCTGGAGATTTTCTCATCTGGTTTTATATGATTTGTACTTTAGTTCAATATCTGAACACTAGTCTCTGTGGTCTTGAGAATGCTGTTACAGTCATTTTTGGCTTTTTTTTTTTATTTGTTTGAACTTGACAAAAGAAATGTCTTCTTTTTTTTTTTCTGAAACTTATATCGTGAACAATGTTGTAAATTTAGTGTCTCAGGAAAAAATTAATTGAAAGCATGAATGAAACTAATGTTTTGGGTGAAAATGTTGTGTTTTGAGAGCTGATATAAAACAATTTTTTAATCAATAGTGTTTATGATTGAAAGAGCAAGAATCATCACCGTGATATTGATTCTATTACCAAGTAAATGCTTTGTGACTGAACATTATATAATATGTATACATCACTGATACTTGTGTTCATCACTGATACAATTGTACAACTTCCCTGACACTAGTACAATATTAGTGATACTTGCATATGATGTCACTGACAATGATGGTAACAGTTTGTATGTGTTCTGCATCACAGTTTTATGTGTATATTATCAAAGTGATGTAATAAAACAAAAAGTGTTTGAATGTTTCCTTTTGTCTCTTTTGTTCAAACTGCCCACATTCTGTGATGGAAAAGGGGTTATGATAACTCATTTGGTTAGAACATCAGTCTGCATTACTCCAAGTCTGATGTCCATGTTTTGACATTCCCTACCGATGATGGTATGTGTTTCTTTGGAAGTTAAGAAATGATTGTTCTGTGCTGACATGTGTCCTGGGAGCAAAACGTTTTAATTTAATTGCCGAGGACAGCGACGAGCCTCCCATCTGTTGTTCAGTGAGTTAGCCACCAGCTACAAAAAGAATACTCCACCTCAAATGGCCCAAGCTGTTCAGAAGGAAGTAAACCCAGCAAACTAGCATTTTGCTATTTGAAGAACTTATTGCAATTTTCCAGACTCAAAATAGATTTACAAGAAAGGTTTGTCGCCAACATTTCTTGGTTGAGGCAGAATTCTCAGTTTGTAACTAAAAGCTTCCAGGACAATCTACTGGTAATTGGTATGGTTTGCAACTGAAGTAGCACATTGTAAGTTTAAAATATCCATTCTGGGAAAAAAATATTCCTAGCTTAACTCTGATGACTAGTTCAGACATAAACTGTTACCATGAAGGGAATTGTATTCTATGCAAATTTGTTGACTGCTAAATTCATAAAAATGATGTCAGAATTTGAGTCAAACACAGTAAAGCAAATTTTCGAAGAGCCATTATTAAACCATTGGCAAGCAATAGTGATCTATATTTGAAATGGAATTGAAATTTTTTTTTTATTTCAAAAAACTTTCCTTTTTTTCTCTTTATTAAGAGATATCTGCACAAGATGATTATACAAATGGTATATTTCTCTAGAAGCAATGAGATAAGTTTTAAGTGCAAGGAACCCTTAAATAGAATAACCCTGATGAAAATACCATTTAATTTCTTTTATTATTATAGGGAAAAGCTACAACATTTTCAAGGCCATCCAGAAACCTTTACCTCTAACATATATATATATATATGTATTCAATTTGCTGACAAACAGTACCGCAAGAGTGAAAGATACCATTCATAAGATAGTTGTTCGATACTGGATCCTGGTGGTGGACCAGGTTCTTCTTAGGGTAGTTGGATGATGTAGACACAAAATATCAATGTTAAAACACACATTAAGGGAGACAATCCTGCTAAGGCTTCTCAATCATAATAGATTAAAAAAAACAGCAGTAGGTCGACAAATGTTTTGCAAGCATAACACCAAAATGCAAAAATAACACTCATTACAAACAAACAATATATATATATCAAAAGAAACTACTGTCATTCATTCTAAATACCTGTAACATTCTAAATACCTGTAACATTAATATTACCCTACTGTCATTCATTCTATATACCTGTAAGATATATATTACCCTACTGTCATTCATACTAAATACCTGTATTATCAATATTACCCTACTGTCATTTAATATTACTATATATACCTGTAACATATATATTTACCCTACTGTCATTCGTTCTAAATACCTGTAACATTAATATTACCCTACTGTCATTCATACTAAATACCTGTAACATTAATATTACCCTACTGTCTTTCGTTCTAAATACCTGTAACATTAATATTACCCTACCGTCATTCGTTCTAAATATATGTAACATTAATACTACCCTACTGTCATTCATTCTAAATACCTGTAACATTAATATTACCCTACTGTCATTCATACTAAATACCTGTATTATCAATATTACCCTACTGTCATTCATTCTAAATACCCGTAACATTAATATTACCCTACTGTCATTCATTCTAAATACCTGTAACATTAATATTACTTAATTAATGATTTGCTGCAGGACTACTTTTCTTACGAAACATACATTACGGTAGCTATTGCCAGGGAAACGGATGTTAAACAAACACCGTCTCTTCAATCAAATTTCATATTTCAACAAGCTGATCCACATGTATCCCTATGTTGGCAATATCTGATAATATTTGTATTTAGAACTCTTGAGGTGGGACCTTTCAAAAGTTGCAAACATAAAGTTTTTCCGGAAGTGAAAAAAAAAATTGAAAGTGTGCTCATGAAAACAAACAAAACGGAAAAATAAGTCCGGGTTGATGAGAGTTTGTCACAATGTCATGTAATATATTGTCCTACAAAGAACATCCGTTGTTTCCTTACATTCCTCAGTAATTTTTGCATAAGCAGTATGGTTTTGTTGGATGTTATTGATTGGATATACAAGTACACAGACTGGCTACAAGATGTCTTCAATTACAAATATCACGGTTAAAAAAGTAAAGATTTTATTTCATTCAAAATTCTTTAAAAAAAAAAATTTATGATACCAAAATCGAAAGATAGATAATGTAAATAAAATATTTATTTCACCAATGTTCGTTAAAAGAAGAAACTTTTATATCTATTTATTTATTTATCTATTTATTATTATTTGGTCCAATGTGAATGTTCATTTCGCGAATGGTATTGGAAGTGACTTGGTAACATGAACAATGGGGACTTAAAACAATGTTTCCACCAAGCAAACTGTCGGAAAGTGTAGTACCCAATATAATACGGACCACAGGGACGGAAAGCAAGATAGATTTATATCCCCTGGTCTTGTCATCATTGCTCGACCGCTTGGTGGCGCTTTTGTTCTGTCATAGTAACCTCGCCGCGTAAGTACGGATTTTGACGAACGTATGAATTTATCATACCAAAGCACAGCTCAAGACACTAAAGGTATGTCTTCATTTATTTACGACTCCGAGTACAAAGAATAAACTTCATTTTCATCAAATCTCTAGAAGAATACTAAGATCATGTTTGGTTAAGGAATGACTTAATATCAAACATGTTGGTCTGCCGTAGTGTATTGACAAATGAGGTTGGTATCTGTGACCTAACGTAAACTTAATGTGACCTCGTGTAAACTTAGCCAACTATTGAGATCATTACAATGACACTATGTATAAGCTTGCTGCTCAAGTACAAGTAGGCATAAGTACTTTAGTGTAGTTTTGAGGCTGGCCTTCTTCAGCAGGTCACCGATGGGAGACGAGCCATTATGTTATATTAGAAGAAAATTGATCGAATGAAATTTTCTACAGTTACATATGCACATACATATCTGTTCAATAATTCTAGCCGATAATGACGTCCATCATTGACCCAAAAATGGAAAGTGTCGCTACGACGGGACAAGTTATCCCCCTTCCATCAAAGATACTGTTAGGTCCCAATGACAGATCTGGCTTTGATAAACCAGCGTAAAAATATACTGACATGAAATCATATTGTGGAAAATTATGCCGATTGTAGGCAATTATCGACAATTTTTGATTTAAATAAAATTTTCAATACGATAATCCAAACTTTTCTTTGAAATATATCTCTCATTTCACTTGTTTGTCTGTACTGCCATACAGTATTACAAATCAGTTGAAATAATCTGATAGTTACTATTTATCATAAAAATTTCATTGGAATGGGAAAAAAGTCGTATAACGTATATATATTTGGATATCTCATACTTGTACAGTCACGCACTCTCTAAATCCATGCATGTTGACTTAAATTATGCATGTATTTTGATTACGTTCTTGCGTGCATCGCGAGTATTATAATCACATGGAATAAAAAACTATAGAGATATAGAATAAACATTGGTGTTCTTATATGCTCTTTATTTTAGGCGATTAGAATGTCCGTTCTACGTAAACACTACTTAGTACACGCATCTAAAATTAAAGCTCATTATAAGCATTCATTATTTTGATACACTTCTGAGCTGACACTAGTCTCGACAAGTGTTTATTTTTCTGTTTTGGGTATTCATCACTTCTTTTTCGAAGAATTCTCTTTCAATTAAGTCCATGAAGTCACATTTTAGCCAGTAAGAAACAAATAACAAATCTGAAACGACAATGTACTGACAAATATAACTTTTATGGTTGAAAGCGAGATAAGTTGTAAATGACTGCTGTCCAATGACAGCACGTTGTCAGGATTTAGCATCATCCTAAACATAGAATCTCTGAAACTCTGACAGCACAGCGCTCGAGTAAAGACATACAGTGCCAAAACAAAACCATGCACCAGGTTTCAAATACCACAACAGAAATTAGTTTGACATGGGTTAAATTTATGTCTTATGTTGATGAGGATAGACAGTGTACAAATAAAGATCTGAACTTAGGACTAACTTTCGTTTTATGTTCAGACGTTTATACGCGTATGAAATAATATTTAACTACACGATTTGCTGACAAGCAAATATCGGTTGCATTCCATAGTTACATAGCGTAACTGTGAGTTAAATAGCGACACACATATAAGCGTCACCTTATAGACCTATGCATGCTGCTTAGCTTATTTTGAGGCGGCTTACTTGTAGTGGCTGATGTCAACCTCAATGAATATGTTACGAGAGATCCGTCGCATCCCATCAATAGCAAACGAGGTCAAGGGTCAAGGCAATCCGTTTCTAGTAAGGATTGTACCTAGACAGCTCAGATTCCGTCTCGTATCGAATACTGTCCTACCGATTTGTCGTGACCGCAATATAACCTATGTAAAATTGTGATACCTGTGTGTATGGCACGTGTCTTAGATATATGATAATTTATTAGTTTGTAGCAATGACAATATATTAAACATTGTCAGGAAATTGGCCCTTATTTAGAATAAATACTTGGTGACCAAAGCCACCCCCGTTATTTATCAAGCTACACATACGTCACAGTATTGGTTAACCTGACATAACCATGTAGTCAGGCAGTTTGGGATGTCAAAATATCAAGGAAGCAGTGAGTTTTTGTCATAGTTTTGGTATAAGGAGTGTATTTATGAAGTAATCCATAATGTGGTAAATATTTCCACAGGATCTTAACGTTGACTGTAGCATTTGTTTTCCACTGGCCAGTGTTGGAAAGCAACACTTTTAAGATCTTCATTATTTGTATTTGAGAATTTTTTATAAACTTACTATATCAAAGATTATTTCTCTGTAACCGCTCGAAGCGA